AAAATACCATAATAAGCTCATCAAAAGTAAACGCCATGGCAAATTACAATTACTGCTATAACAAAAAACAACCACGAATTGTAATCATAGCTTAATGCTTACACATTTAAAAGTGTTTTTCTTTTTTGCTCCACAAAAAAAAAAAAAAACGAAGAAGTAGTGGAAAACAAAATTATATGTTTTGTAATGGGACAATTGAAGCCCAGCAAATTGTAAAATGTAATAGACAAAAGTAAGTAGCAAGTGCTAAAGTTGTGGCGCCCAACAATGAATTGCCTCTTGTGAATGCAACAAGCATTGGATGCGTTACAATGAGTCGGCCTTTTTTCAACGCTACAGAGAGAGAGAAAAAAATGCTCTATCATCATTAACTATCATAATGATGCATATCATGATTATGATCATTATCAGTCTGATCATTACGATCATGTACATCATAATCATGACCAATATTTTCAGTATTATTGTGTGTTACTCCAGACAGCTAGGAGGTAACTGGCTTTTATTACCAGTTACCGAAGCCAAGTAAAAAAGTAAAGATTGCTGCAGCACCACGCAACAGGAGAATGTTTTAAATGCTGGCTGGCTAGTGTTACAGAAAGCGAAAACAACAACAGCAAACAAATATCTGCACAAGTTGCACAATTGTCCGATATTGCAACCACTTGCACCACCGACAATAAAAAAGCGTTGCCATAAAACAGCAACAACAACACTCTATGATTGGGGTAAAATAAACAAGCCCAAAAGAAAACAAGCTCTTCGATTTGTTTTGCTTGCAGTTGGTTTTTTTTTTCACTCATTGATCTCTGTGGCAATTTCGTATTGAAGACTTTATTTTCCCATTGGCTGGTGTTTCCTTTTATTCGAAAGTCGGGTTTGCTGTTTTTTTTAATGCAACCTGAATACACTTGAAATGTAAGCGATTAGCTAACAGTGGTTTAATAAAATCGTTATAGGTTAAAGATAAATCACTTAAAAATTTTATGAGGGCTATAAAATTCCAATGATTTTTTTGTGAACAATTGTCATGCAATCGTAAAAAAAATAATGTGTATAATTTACATATTTTTATTATTCGAAGGAGATTTATTGGAATATTAATATCTATAGAATTATACCCTTGATGAGAACGACAAATTTGAACAGCTGTTCAGTATAATCAGCTGATTTGTATCACATCAAATGTCAAAGTTGAAAAATATTTAACCACGTTTAACGATCATATGTTTTGTACATAGGTTTTTGACCGTATTGAAAATATTCCTAATATTCCTAAAAGCTATTTTAGAGGAAATTTACATTGCCCCGGATTTATTAAATCTAGTGGATCTAAATTGCTAATTTCATTACATGCATGTCAAATAAATACTCATACATTAGATTAACCCAGCAAAAACTTTTAAAAAATACAACGATTCAGATAAAATTAGATTATATAACAAGTAAAATATTTATTTAATGTTTACTCTACTTATTTCTGTCCACATATTGTAAATTGAAATCACAATAAGTTTTGACAGTTCATCTGATTGTAATCAGTCGATGAAATATATATATTAATGATTACGATTAAAAATAAGTCCTATTAATATTATCATCCAGGAAAATCAACAGCTTCTCAAGTTTGCTGCCAAGCCTATTGTGAATTGTCTTTACATTATGAAAACGTAAAAAAACATCCACATTTTTTACCTTAGATTTCAGAAATTAACAAATATTTTTGCTTTCTGGGCTCCAGTGTTTTATTTAATTCCCATTTAAATCAGCTGATTACTCAAAACAGCTGACTGGTATATTTATATAATTTTGGAACCAGGTGTTTTATTAATTCCCCACATAAATCAGCTGATTACTCAAAACAGCTGACAGCTAACTTTATATCATTGTAATACTTATCTAAACAATTATGATTTTGTACCCCGATTTAGAAATCGAATCGATTTCCAAAGGCATTGTTCAAATGCCCCTCCAAGGTCTATTAATAAGGTCATCTAGGAAGCCCAGCTGTATATAAGTTGCTTCTCAAATTTGTCTGTAAAATACATTATTGTGAATTGACGTCCATTATGAAAATGTAAACAAAGTCCAACTTTTGGACATTAGGCTTGAGAAAAAAAAAAAAACAAACAATATACCTTGTGCGCTTCTAGTATTAACATGGTTAGGGTTACATAGATCGACTACAGTTACGATTATTTGTAAAGCGGTGTACACACTATCATTTTTGACTGTCAACTTTTATATCGATTACTGACTGTCCAACAACCATAAATATTTTTGTGGTTGCCTGATGAATGACAAACATGTGAGGCCACACTATCAAACAAGTAAAATTTGGGCAAGAGTGCCATTCAAAAATGCTAGTGTGTACACCGCATAAGTAAAATACACTGGATTCTGCTTAGATAGGCTAATTTATTCACCGATATTTCCGGAAACGTTTCTTTACTTCATGACCCTACTTTATTTTATTATTCTCCAATTTAAATCAGCTGATTGCACTGAACAGATGTTTTAGACTACAGTTGCTCTTTTATACATTATGCAATAATAAGGTGATGTATCACAACAAAAACCTTTGTTTTTGTCTCGACCTTCTGTCAAATTTTTCCATATTATATTTCACATGGTTGGCAACTCTGCACATCAAATTCAAGTAGAAATTACACACTTTGACAGTTAATCGAGACATCAGCTGAGCTAAATGGACTACCTATTTATTGTGCCATGCTTTCATAGAATATTTTCATACAATATTGTGCACATAAATCATGACAAGAATAAATTACGTTGAAACGCTATAAAGATAATAAAAAAATAAAAAATATATATTTTAATCGACTGTTTGTATTTTACTTGTTAGTGTGGCATCATAACAATATTCTATAAAATAAAACACAGACCGGATTATCAGTTTATATTTAAAGAGTGTTTTTTTTTATTATCCTCCAATTAAAATCAGCTGACTTTATTGTACAGCTGGTTTATAGTACTTTTACATTACACTGGATTTTGTTAACCCATCGTGTGTATGTCAGATAAATCCTAATGAAGTAGGTAAACCCCGTAAAAAGTTCTAAAACGGCATATACATTAGATTTTTTTACCGGGTTAACCCACTTCATGAGGATTTATTTGATATATATGCAAAGGAATTGACAATTGAAACCCACTGGGTTAACGAAATTCGGTTAAATGTAAACGTACTATAATGTACATTAATTTTAATTTATCGACAAAAAATATGGGTTTCGCCACATATCATCAACATTTCTGGAACAGATTCTTTACTTCACTAAAATGTACATTAATTTAAATTTATCGACAAACAATATAGGTTTCGCTACATATAATCGACATTTCTGGAACAGATTCTTTACTTCATGGCCCTATTTTATTATTCTGCACTTTATATCAGCTGATTACAGCTATCAGCTGTTTTAGATAATGTTTACATTTATTATCACATAAACACAAATGTTTTGCGCCTTTCTGAGCCGCCTTATGTTTTATCGCCGATGTTTAATCAAATTCCCATTTAAACCAGCTGATTAATCAAAACAACTGTTTTAGATTAGGTTTATATTTGCGTTTAGTATCATGACACCAAGCTCGAATGTAAACATAACCTTACCCGACCATTTATTACTTTATTATTATTAAATCCAAGTCATTTATATGTTCTTCTGTCAGCAGGTTATTATGAAATGGACTGTGAAAATCAGCTGTTCGTATTCCCGTAAGCTGCATATAATCATAACCTAGATTTTATTACTTTATTATTATTAAATCCAAGTCATTTATATGTTCTCCTGTCAGCAGGTTATTATGAAATGATCTGTGAAAACATAATAGGCTCAAATAGGAAACATATTATAAATCAGCTGTTCAGAGTAATCGTCTGATTTAAATTGGAAATTGCATTTAAATCACAATATGTTTTGGCAGTTCACCATACAATAATCAGCTGCCTGAAAAACTTATAAAAGACTACGATTAATTCTAATAAAGTAATAAATTATCGAAAGACTATGTTTATATTTGAAATTGGTGTCACAATAAAAAGCTCAGATGTAAACCTAAAATAAAACAGCTGCTCCTAGCAATCAGCTGATTTAAAATTTAAATAATAAAACATAGGAATCTAAGACATATTTTTTTGTATTTTTTGTATCGTAAAAAGTGCCGATCTATGTTACCCTATTAATTGTTTATAAATGGTATGTTCCCCTACTCAAAAAGTGACCAAACTTTTCAAATGTATTAAGGAAAAATCGAAAACAATTTTTATTAAAAGAAAATTCTTGGAGATTCTAGAATAGTGAATAAGATTTTTATTTTTTTAACAAGGTAAAGTACATTTACATATAGGGTCATAAAACGACTAGGTTACGAAAATCCTCAAATACACTTTAACGTTTTGGGCATGCCTTGAAATAATGTAAATGCCTGTCAGCTGATGATATTTAAATGTCAGACAGCTGATGATATTTAGTATGAATAATAAATATAATTGTAAAGACATCTTAGTATATGTTTGTAGTAGAAAATCAACCATGATTTACCATTACAAAATAGTAGAAATACAACCCTGTTTGCAAACAAACAATAGAAAAAATACAACCCTAATTTACAATCAATTTTTTTGTCAAAATTAAACAACTTTAAACAGCTGTTTTATGATGATTTACTTAAACCGTTAACCTTTTGAATATGTTTTATTTGTCATCCATTCACACCACTGTTTAAACGTAGTCTGGTTAATTTATTTTCCAAACATTTAAACAGTGTATTAACAGCAACATTTATTGCCTTTTGGTTGGGTGGGTGTATTATGGCTTTTTCGTAGGTGATTTATCATTTTGGAGATTTCCACTTTGTGTCTTAAGTCAGCATTTATTGTTTCTGTGGCTGTAAAATGTAATCTATTCATGTCTTATATAACTATTAACAAAGCTAATAATCATTTTTCTTCTTTTTCTTGTTCATTTACAGAAACATGCCTGAACTAACACCGGTCCAACAATACTACAAAGGCAAAACCGTGTTTATCACTGGTGCCTCCGGCTTTATGGGCAAAGTGCTATTGGAAAAACTTTTATATTCTTGCTATGAACTGAAGGAGATTATTATTATTTGTCGTGCCAAGCGTGGCAAGACACCTGAACAACGTTTGGAGGATATGTGGAAATTGCCGGTAAGTAATGGAGGCGGTTAATTGATATTATGTAATGGAAGATATGGGACAGGTCTTTTAGTTGGGGGAAAATTTAAGGTTTTCAGGAATTTCTATTGGAAGATATGAAGGGTTTTTTTAATAGAAAAAATATTGCGGGAAGAGTTTGGATATCTTCATAGAAGAGCTGCGGGAATTGATCTTCATAGAAGAGCTGAAAGTCTTCCTCTTTATAGTAGATATAGAGATATTTTTCATAGAGGTTTTTCCAAATTGGGTAGCTAAAGGTCTTCTTTATTGAAAAGCCCCAGCAGGTCCCTACAGATTACTTCTTTCCAATATTTACCAATTTTCAATCCTTCCCTTGCAGATTTTCCAACGCATCAAGGATGAACGCCCTGAAGTTTTGAAAAAGGTCACCATGTACACCGGTGACATTACCCTCGAATTGTTGGGTCTCTCGGAGGAGAATTTGAAACATGTCACCGAAAATACCAATATCGTTTTCCACATGGCTGCCACATTGAAACTGGAAGGTAATCTCACCGATGCCGTGAACATGAATTTGGCCGGTACCCGTCGTGCCATTGATGTCGCACGTAAAATGAAAAATTTGGAGGCATTCGTACATCTTTCCACCGCTTTCTGTAATTGCGATCAAGAAGTTATGTACGAAAAGGTCTATGATTTCCCACATAAACCCGAAGAGTTGATGCGTATGGCCGAATGGATGGATGTGCCCACTATGGATGCTGTAACACCAAAATTATTGCCACCCCACCCTAATACCTATACGTATACTAAACGTTTGGCGGAAATCTATGTTCGTGATCAGTATGAGACATTGCCGGTGATTATTGCACGCCCCAGTATTGGTAAGTTTGAGAAATGAGATTTGTTTTTGAATTGTCGGTTTTAGTTTTAAGCTTTTGGTTCTTGAGTTAACGAAAACTTGAAAAACAAAATGGCGGGAAATATGTTTTTGGGTTTTTCCTAGTTTTAAGATGCGGGGCTTTTTCCTAGTTTTTAAGAAGTTTAAAAAATAAAAATTACCCTTTTTTGCACTTTTGGTGGTCTAATGCTTTTAAATGTCGCTGTGCAATTTTGGGAAAATCCTGCTGCAACCAAGAAAACCTGCTTTTACAACAATCCTGTGAGTGCTATATCCTACAAATCCTTTAAAACTCTTCAAATACCTTCATACTCAGATGATCCGATAATTCAACATTTTTTGAAGAAAGGGATCCAAACAATATATTTAATTTAAAAATTTGGTTTTGAGTCCTATTTTCCATTATGATATGTTTACATCGAACGTCTTTTATTTTAGAAATCATTAAATTAAATAATTTAAATGTTGTATTTTCTCTGAAGACTTTTATGTAAACATAGTCTTACTTAGCTGGCTTGTGACAGAACTTTCGTTCCATAGTCTTATTTACATAAGAATGTGAGGTGTGAATCGACCATAACTAAATCAGCTGATTTAAAATAAATACCGCTTTTAGGTAGATACAAATTAAGGCGTTTTACTCTTGCTTTTCATAAAATAAGAAAAATTCTGTAAATCACTCATAACAAAATCAGCTGATTCTGGCAAAAATGACAGCTGAGAGGACAGATGATAGAAAAGACAGACATTTAGGATAAAAAACACTATTCGTTGTGTGTAAATCCGAATAAATAATTTTTCTTCAAAGAAAAGTAAAAAAAAGATAAAATTGAAAAATAATTTTTCCTCTAATCATGTTTACATCTAACGTATTTAATGAAAACAAGTCATTTATTTGACATTAATTAAAAGAAAAAAATTAAATGACACGTATTAATAGACCCCTATTGATGTAAACAAAGAATTAGCGTAATGCCCTATGGTATGGCCTATTAACAAGGTCATCCAGGGAGACCAGGTAGATATCAGCTGCCTCTCAAGTTTGCTGTCAAAACCCATTATTGTGAATTGACTTCCATTATGAAAACGTAAACAAAGTTCTAATTTTTGACATTACACTTCAGAAGAAAACAGCTGTCTTTCGCCAGCTGGGTGACCTTATTAACATATCTTGCCCTATGGTATATTCCAAAGCATATTAATAAGGTCACCCAGAATGCGAAAAAAAGCTGTTATTTCTCAAGTTAAATGTCAAAAATTTTGGCGTTGTTTACGTTTTCATACTGTTGTTTACGTTTTTATACAATTTACAATAATGAATTTTGACAGGAAACTTGAAAAACAGCTGATATTCCTGGTCGGCCATATTAATATACCTTGGTGTATTCGAAAAATTTCATACTACACCAATAAAAACAGCTGTTTTGGATTACAGTTGGTGAAAATAGTAGTAACCAATATTTGTCTTACGCGTTGTTTTGATAAATGTTAAAAATAATAGAAAGTTATAAGGTTAGGTATTCAAAACAAGACAATATATTTTATTTACATAAGCAGCTGATTTTGACAGCTGAAAATCTTATTTCTTATCGAAAAATCCGTCACTATCTCTCTGAGATCATATAAATAAGGATGTTTTCTATATAAAATGGAAAAATAGTCCAATTAAAGAAGTTTTGGTCAATAAATATTCATAGAGACCGAATTTACTTTTTATTTTCTTAGATTAATTCCGCCATTCGCTTCTCTAAAGTGGTCGAGGCAATAATCTCTGAAACGTTCCATTCGTTGTTTTTGATTCTAGCGAAGAAAAAGGAATTACGTTCCCTAAACTAGTTCCCGTGCTCATTTCTGTGAATTACGCGCACAATTGAAGTAGCTCGTTATAAAACAGCTGATCCCAATAATTAAGGTCATGTTTACATTGTATTGATAAACATTTTAAGTGGCCGTACAAAAATACACATATAATAGGTACGGATAGATATATTAAATAGAAAAATAGTTCAATTCAAGAAGATTTCGAAAATATATATTTATAGATAAAACAGAAAATAGCCGGGTATACTTTTAATTTTCTATGAATAAATTCGTCAATTTAATTATTCGCCCCCTCTAACATGGCTGATGAAATGATCTGTGAATCCTACGGTTCATTGTTAAACGGCTTTTACATTAGAATTTTTTACCGGGTTAACCTACTTTATGAGGATTTATTTGACATATATGCAAAGGAATTGACAATTGAAACCCACTGGGTTAAGGAAATCCGGTTAAATGTAAACGTACTATTATTGATTCTTGTGAAGAAAAAGGAATTACGTTCCCTGAACTAGTTCCCTTGCCCCTTTCTGTGAATCGCACGCGAAATTGAATCAGCTTGTTATAGAACAGCTGATTCCTATTTGAATGATTTAGGCCATGTTTACATTGTGTTGATAAACATATTCTAATGAAGAAAATGGAATTACGTTCCCTGAACTAGTTCCCTTGCCCCTTTCTGTGAATCGCACGCAAAATTGAATCAGCTTGTTATAGAACAGCTGATTCCTATTTCAATGATTTAGGCCATGTTTACATGGCGTAATTGCAAGTTCTGTATTTCTAAATGAATTGTATTGTAAATGTAGCCTTAATTATATATTCAATTTTTCAGAATTATGACTGGTATGTTCGAGTACTGCAATAATCTACTAATTTTTACTTTTTTCGGATATCACAAAGGGAAATTTGTTATCGTATTAAAAATGTGTACATTCTTGCAGGTTCTGGAACAAAACAGATGTTTTACTTTACACATTTTGGGATATGATCTTAAATAAGCAAATGAAACATTTTCCTCCTGAGCTTTTTACCCAATACAACAAATACCTTCTTCTGCTTCAAAAATTATTAATAAGGTCATTCAGGGAGTCCAGCTGGATATTAGCTGCTTTTCAAGTTTCCTGTCAAAATCCATTATTGTGAAATGATTTTCATTATGAAAACGTAAACATATTCCAACTTATTGACATAAGACTTGAGAAAACAGCTGACTTTCGCTTGCTGGGTGACCTTTATAATAGATCTTGTTCTTCTTTTTTACTTTTGCTTAACGATGAGCTTTTGAAACTTTATTCTTTTTTTATATGCTGTATACATATGTTTAAGGTTTTTTACCCCAAGAAAAATGAAAAAATGAACCCAGAGTGCTTACATCTTAACAAAGTGATTTTTTTAAGCTTTGATCAAGAAGACACTATTTCCAGTAATGAAACAAACAGCTTGCCAGCAATAAAAACGCTAAAGAAACCCTAAAAGCTTAACCAAAAAAAAAAAAATAAATATATAAATAAAAAAATAAAGTGAATGTGAATTATGACCTTGTACAAAACTAAAACTGCATAAAAACTCTAAAAGCTTACCAATAAAAGTGAAACAGAAAACACATTTCCCCAAGCTTCAAATGTTAAAACTAAAACTCCAAGCTTGTCAATAAACGGCAACACACTACAAAAGCTTTAAGCTTTTTTCTTGCTCTCAGTCTTATTTCCCAACTGTGAACATGTGCCCAACTAAACTAAGGATTAAAGCAAAATCTCCTAAGGTAAATGTAAGTTTCTAATGTGAACAATTTCCCAAATGAAGTCTATGTTTCCCACACGCTTCTACCCCAGCTTTTGCTAAATGAAATTTAATAATAATATAAATTTTTCCTGAAAAAAAAAACCATCAGTATTACCCTCGGCCTTTGAGCCACTCAACGGTTGGGTAGACAACCTAAATGGACCCGTTGGCCTAATGGTGGGTGCTGGCAAAGGTGTCATACGTTCTATGCTCATCGATCGGCGTCACAAATCCGAAGCCATACCAGTTGATTATGCCATCAATGGCTTGGTTGTAATACCCTATGAATTTTCTACAAATCCAAGGTATATATTTTTTGGAAAACTTAAATTACCATTTTTTCTAAAAAAAAAACGAAAATTTCTCTTAGACCCCAAGAGGTCCCAGTCTACAATATAACCTGTGCTGAACGCCGTAAAGTACCCTGGGGTGATGTTATTGATTTGAGTAAAAAAATTGGCTATCAATATCCGATGGAAACGGGCCTTTGGTATCCGGATGGTACAATCACCACCAGTCGTTTTATACATCAATTGAATGTTATATTGTTCCATTGGTTGCCGGCATATTTTATTGACTTCATATTGTTTTTGTTGGGTCAAAAGCGTTTGTAAGTTTCACTTTTGACATACGTTGCGATTGGAGTTTTGTAATTATCCAATGTGATTTATTTTAGCATGATACGTGTCCAGCAACGTGTTCAAGTTGGTCTGAATGTTTTGCAATTCTTTACAATGCGCGCATGGATTTTCCGTTCGCCACGTTATGAAGCCTTGTGGGAGAATCTAAATGATCAGGATAAATTGATGTAAGAGAGAGAGAGAGAGTGTTTTTTTCTCGGACATTTTTGAGTTTTGTGGAACTTTTGGCGCTGTAGAAGTGAATTAAAATAACAGATGGTTGAGATTAATTTAATTTTTTTCTCCCCCACTTATTGACTCAAATATATTTAAATTGAGGTTATAAAATTGATCTGTGGCCTTATAGCTTAAGTAATTTGAAGAAGAAGTATTGATCTTGTTTGAACTAGTCCAGTTGCACCATTTGCGTCTGACTCACAAGTGAAAAGATCGTTTTCGAACTAAAGATCACTACTTACTTAGGCTACGTTCACATTGAACAATTTGAATTAATAATTTCACTATAATTGTGTTAACATTTATCAACTGTATATGAAACTAGTTCACTGGCTCCTTTTTGGGAATCATTCAATTCTTATAGTACGTTTACATTGTACTGGATTTCGTTGACCCAGTTAGTAAAGACTGCTCAGTAAAAAATTCTATTGAAAATGTCGTTTTAGGCCATGTTTACATTATAAATCTTTATCGTGATCATGCTATTAATGAAAGACCGATACTAAGGCCTGAATGTATT